ATCATCATCATCAGCATCATCATCATCCCTCCTCCTCCTCCTCCTGCTCCTGCTCCTGCTCCTGCTCCTGCTCCTGTTCCTGCTCTTGCTCCTCCTCCTCCTCCTCCTCCTCCTCCTCCTCCTCCTCCTCCTCCGTGTCTGGACCGGCAAGCGACAGAGGGGAATATGGCAGACGTGGGGCTAGCGAATCTGCTCGCGTACGGCAAGCTCGTGTCGCGACGGCCTGGGCGCTGGTTTCTGACACCGCGTGGGCCTTTCAACCTGTATCGATCGGCGGCCTCTCGGATCGCCAGGTCGTCCCGCAGTGGCCGATTCTGGACCGCCGGCGGCGCTCCACCCCGAACGCCCGCGGCGGGGTCGTGCCGCCGCGTCGACGCGGCACGAACCTGCTGTCGGGCGACTCCGAAGGCTGTAGCTTGCGCAGGATGTGGTTTGCAACCTGGCACCCTGGGGGGGTGGATGCTCATTCTGGGGGCCTTCCTGGAGACACTCGCTCCACTCGTGCGTCGAAGCTGCGTCGAACGTCCGCCGATTTGATCCGACTTTGGGTCGAACCTGAGTCAAACTTGAGTCGACCTTGAGTCGAACTTGAGTCGATCTGGGGTCGAACTAGAGTCGAACAGATCCGTTTGGTGGGCCTCAGGAAGGTCCCCAAAACGAGCATCAAAGGGGGGGCACCCTGGGGGGCTGGCGAGGAGGCGAGGACCTCGACAGAGCTCGACCGCCGCGCCCCGAGGAGGCCGGAGCCTCGACGGTGCCGATCGCAAACCATACCCCAGCGTAAACCAGGACTCGGAAAAGAGACGAACACTCGTGCCACATTCATCTGTCAACGCCTCCCCCTCCCCCCAACGTTCAAAGTTGGCGGTGGGTCTGAGGAGTTGCACCTCGACTGCCCGCGCGTGCCAAGTCTGAGTTTGGGGAGGAAGGGGGGTGTTCAATAACTGTTTCCCTCTACCGCCATACACCTCGCCATCGCTCGGACGCCCATTTCCTGTGCATGTTTCGACTTCGTGCGCTCCTTCTCGCCAGATGTTCCAGAATGCTCCTCGATGGCCCTCGCTGGGAAAAAATGCACACGCCCGAGCGATGCCAAGACGCTCTTTCTAGCCGCCGAGCCGTGGCTGGCTGTCCGAGCGCCTCCCCCCGCCAATGCGACGGCCAATATGCCTCAAGATGAGCACGCCCAGCAGCTGGACCCAAGACGGCGGCACGCAGCAGACTTCACAACTTAACCTTTCCCTGGTCCCCCCGAGGAGGAGGAGGAGGAGGAGAAGGAGGACGACGACGACAAGGGGGAGGAGGGAGGGAGGGAGGGAGGGCAGGGGGGAGGGAGGGAGGGAGGGAGGGAGGGGCAGGGAGGAGGAGGAGGAGGAGGAGGAGGAGGAGGAGGAGGAGCTCACCCCTCCCTCCCTCCCTCCCTCCCGATCCTACCCAGTTTGCGCGCGCCGCCGACTGGAGTGAGGAGCGGGAGAGAGGAGGCTCGGGCGGGTGGTAGTGGGAGGCGATCTGCATAATTCGGGGGTGAAGTAAAGGGCAGCAGGCCACCCCCAAGTACAATCGGAACTATAAGACAGAAGAGCATCCTTCAAGAAGATCAGGCCCTCCGCCGCCAGAAGAGACAGAACATCCAAGGGTGCCCTCCCCAGGTTGCACAAGAGCATCCAACAAACACGGAGAACATCAGGGCACCCTCCCCGAATCGACCTCGATCTTATGCCTCGGTCAGGCTGTACCACCCGCCCGTTCCGTCTCCCACGGCAGCCCGCTGAGCGGCCTCTGGCGATGCGTGCGGGCATCCTGAGCGTCTCGAAGACACCGAGGGGCGGCCTCACCTTTCTTTTACGTTGGACAAGCGTTGGCTTGAGAGAGCCACCACGTCTGGGTGCAAAGGTATTGTGCCGGCTCCCCGACACACGCTGCGCACGGAGGCGTTCTCTAAGCGCGCCCAGCCTCCAACCCCCAAACCCCCAAACACTCACCCCCAAACCCCTGAACCACCCGAACCCCTGCAACCGTCCCCACATCCTCCTCCTCCTCCTCCTCCTCCTCCTCCTCATCATCATCAGCAGCAGCAGCAGCAGCATCAGCATCATCATCATCATCATCATCATCATCATCATCATCATCAATCATCATCATCATCAGCAGCAGCATCATCATCATCGCATCAGCACACATCATCATCCCCTCATCATCATCAATCATCATCATCTCATCATCATCATATCATGACTCCTCGTCATTCCTCATCCTCCTCATCCCTCCTCCTCCTCTTCTTCCTCCTCTTCCTCCCACCACCGCCTTCTTCCTTCTCCTCCCGCCTCCTCCTCCCTCCTCCTCCACCTCCTCCTCCTCCTCCTCCTCCTCCTCCTCCTCCTCCTCCTCCGCCTCCTCCTCCTCCTCGAGGGGTGGAGGAAGGGAGGCTGGGCGAGGCTTGCGGTGGGCAGTCCCCCGACCCTCGTGTGGGGCCGGTGGCCGCGGTTCCACCGCGTGCCCCGACGCTCGGAGCCGTGGGGCGGCACGGCAGAGCACTTGTGGTCCTCCCTCCGCTCCCTCCTCCTCCTCCTCCTACCTCCTCCTCCTCCTCCCCTCCTCTCTCCTCTACTCTCCTCCATCCTCCTCCTCCTCCTCCTCCTCCTCCTCCTCCTCCTCCTCCCTCCTCCTCCTCCTCCTCCTCCTCCTCACCTCCTCCTCCTCCTCCTCCTCCTCCTCCTCTCCTCCTCCTCCTCCTCCTCCTCCTCCTCCTCCTCCTCCTCACCTCCTCCTCTCCTCCGCCTCCTCCTCCTCCTACCTCTACTCCTACTCCTACTCCTACTCCTACTCCTACCCTCCCTCTCCTCCTCCTCCCTCCTCCTCCTCCTCCCTCCTCCTCCTCCTCCTCCTCCTCCTTCCTCCTCCTCCTCCTCCTCCTCCTCCCTCCTATCCCCTCCCCCTCCTCCTCCTCCTCATCTCCCTCCTCCTTCTTCATCTCCTCCACCTCTTTCCTCCTCCTCCCTCCTCCTCCTCCTCCTCCTCCTCCTCCCTCAACCCCTCCTCTTTCTCCTCCTCCCCTCCTCCTCCTCCTCCGCTCCTCCCCCTCCCCTCCTCCCTCCTCGTCCTTCTCCATCTCCATCCTCCTCTCTCCTCCATCATCATCATCATCCATCATCATCATCATCATCATCATCATCATCATCATCATCATCATCAGCATCATCATCATCATCATCATCATCATCATCTTCACCATCATCATCATCATCATCATCACATCATCATCATCATCATCATCATCATCATCATCATCATCATCATCATCAGTCATCATCATCTTCCATCATCATCATCATCATCATCATCATCATCATCATCAATCATCATCATCATCATCAATCATCATCATCATCATCATCATCATCATCATCATCCTTTCCTCCTCCCTCCTCCTCCTCATCCTCCATCTTCTCCTCCTCCTCCCCCTCCTCCTCCTCCTCCTCCTCCTCCTCCTTCTCCTCCTCCCCCTCCTCGTAAGGAGCCGAACTCTTTACACCGACGCTTTTTCCGGCCACGCACCGAAACTCGCACAGGAAAGCGGATCCCGGAGTATACATACGCGGGATCCTGGTGTATACATGTTTCGTTGCTTCCCCGGGGAAGCGGGGAGAAAGTACACACCACACCACCCCGATGTCGTCCCCGACCCCGACAAAAATCCTGGGATTGTAAAACAGCCCGCCACTGGTAATGTATATGCTCCAGTTTCTGACTCCCTGCCCTGGGCGCAGCTGATCCGAGGGCAGAGATCCATCCCAATAATGATCACCCCGACACGCGAAGCCGTTCGGCAAACGCACCCACAGAAGGAATCGAACAAGTCAGGGCTGTTCAAGAAACGCCCAAGACCGATCGGTAATCGCCGATTGTCGGTTCCGTGTGGCTTCTCCTCCCGTGACTGATGCATCGGGTCCGACGAAAGAGGGGGTCGCAAAGAGGGGTGCTAGCGAAGCAGGCTCGAGCAGGCGGTTCTCCCGACGCCGCCCGACACGGAAGGGGGGCCAGTGCATCGAGGAGAGTGCCCGGCGTCGGCCGAAGCCAGCTACACGCCGCAGACTTCGCAGCTCCCCATGGCGGCGCGCATGAGGGGGTCGGGGGAGGGGGGAGCGGGAGGGCTCCTTAGAAGGAGGCTACTTCTTGGAAGGCGCTGGCCTTCCATCAGCAAGTAAGGCCCGCGCCTTCTCAGAATCAGGGATGCTTCTAAGAAGCCCTCCCCCCTCCCCCCACCCCCCTCTGCGCGTGGCTGACCTTTCCCCAGATCACCCGCTCGGGTCCGATCCGAACGGACCTGGCAATGGCCAGATGGCAGGCCTGCGACGGTGCAGACGGCCTCGCGAAAAGGATCGAGCCAACAGGCGCGGGGCGCTGGGGCCGCAGCAGCGCGTGCCCGAAATCGCGGAGACGTGGAGGCAGAGGGACACTTGTGATCCTCCTCCCTGCCTCGAATAAACGGCATGTTGGCGAGGAGATGAACCTGGCGATGTCCAGTTAATCGACCTGCAACGGTGCAGACGACCTCGCGAAACGAATCGTTCTACGGCAAGTTCGCGTCGTGACGCCTTGTGCATCGGTCTCTGTCACCGCGCGAACCTTTCAGCCTGGAACGATCCTGGCCTCCTGATCATCAAGACGGCTCAACGTTGACCTAGGCTGTGCCGCCGGTGGCCTTCAATCCTGAACGCCGGCGCCAGCGCCGGCGCCGCATCGACGAAGCGCGAACCTGCCTGGACATACGTGGGTATGAATCCCCCGCTCAACTTATGTTGCTCCCATCCGACTTAAGGACCGCACCCCAGAAAGAATTCCGAGCACCCAGAAACATATCGAAACGGTGTCGAACGAGTATCGCCTCCCGGGGCCCGGTACGTGAAGACCCTCCAGCTTCGGAGCTCTCCTGGTGCTCGAAATCCTTTCTGGTGGTCCAGGCTAAGGCAGGCTGGACCATCACGACGCTCGACTCCATCCGCCCAGGAACTCGCCCTCGCCGCGCAGGCTGGCCGAGAGGGCGGCTGCGCTACATTGCTGGCGGAGGCGCCTCCTCGCCCTGCTTGCGGCGGGCGTAGCCGCACGCGCGCAGGGCCAGGCGGCGGATGTCGCCGCACTCGCGCTCGGGGCCCGCCACCCGGAGCAGGCACATGAAGAAGAAGAGCGTGAAGAGCAGGGAGTAGGCGATGGTGACGCTGATCAGCGTGGACATCTGCAGGAAGAACACCATCTGGCAGAAACGCATCGAGAGGCCCGCCATCAGCGTGGTGACTGCACCGGCCAGCACCGTCACGCCCATGTTCTTCAGGGCCATCTCCCACCGCTCCGCGCGGGTCTCATAGCCGAGATGCCCCACCTCCAGGTACATATGGCCGAGGTGAATCACATAGTCGACCGCCAGTCCGATGACGATGACGCCCGCGATGGACTCAGAGATCCCAAGGTACCAGCCCTCAATAGCCCAACACCACCCGAGAACGGACATCACGATGGCCCCAATCGTAATGATGGCGTAGAGGGCCACCAGCACGTTACCAGTAGCCAGCAGCAGAACCACGAATGCCGTTGGGAAGCAGATGGCAAAACCTTCGAAGAGGCCCTTGACGAGGGTCTGCTCGATCACCAGGAACACCCACTCTGGACCAGCGGTCTGAAGGGCATCGCCCGCCGCAGCAGGTGCGCTGCTTCTCTCCCGGTCTAGGAAGCGCATGACGGTGTCGAGAACCTCTGCCTTGACGCTGCCAGGCTGCCCCCTCTTCACCGTGAGCATCGCCTGGACCTCCACGTACCGCAGCTCCCCGCCCACGAACCCGATGCCCTTCTCCCAGGTGGCCTGGTTGTTGAGGACCCGCCGAGGCACCTGGGTGCTCCGGAACGCCTGCAGCTCGGACGTGAAGGCATCGCCCTCGAGGGAGGTCCCGCCCGCCCAGGCATCGAACTCCTCGAGGAAGCAGGACACGGCGCTCGGGTCGGGCTGCACCAGGCGGCCCTCGGAGCACCCCGAGCTCGTGCAGGCCTCGGCGCGCAGCCGCTGGCAGAAGCCGCGGAGGAACTCCTGCGCGGCGGGCTGGCCGAGGTCGAAGCCGCCGTCCCAGACGGGCACGCCGTAGAAGAGGTGCGGGGCCCACGGGTCCACGGACGCGCTGCTGTTGGGGCTGCGGTCCACCCCCTCGATGCCGAAGGAGAACTGCAGGACGAGGTAGTCGTCAGCGCCACCTGCGAGGAAGCCGCTGCCGCTGAGATCGGCCACCCGCGAGTGCATGTGCTCCTTGCCGAAGAACTGGAACATCTCTGGTGGCGGCTCCTCACGAACGGCGAGCAGATCCGTATCCGCGCCCTCGCGGTCTGGATTCCGGGGCGCGATCCCGCGGGTACTCGGTCGCACTGGCCCGTTTCTGCGCGGGGCATCCGCGAAAAAACGCCCCATACGGATACGGATATGTTTTTCGCCATCAGCTTTCCCGATCCCGACGCCTGGTGGTCTTCTGGTACTGCGTCAGGCCTCCGGCGGCCGTTTGGGGCGATTCGGGCACCCCTGGAACGCCCTCGGCGAGGCGCAGCCGCCGGCAGGCCTCCCGAGGATGGGCAGCCGCCGATCACCAACGAAAATGCCCACAAAACCTCGGACGTCGCCCGACTGCTTTTCGCCCACGAGCTCAACCTCGGACGTCGCCCGACTGCTCTTCGCCCACGAGCTCCAGCTGCGCCGCCCAGTAGCAGTTCAGGCCGCCCCAGCCGGCGAGGAGCAGCAGGCTGACCAGAGCCCCGGCAGGCCGCCCGAGGGCGAGCAGGAAGCAGCGCGCCAGCCAGGAGGGCTTCGGTGCCTCCGAGGGCCGCGCCTGCGCCTGCTCCTCGGCGGTCGCCTCGGGTCGGCCCCGACGGCAGCAGCAGCAGCGGGAGAGGTCTACCCTGCTGATGGGCAACGAGGGGAGGAGACAGCTCAGGGGGGGAAAACACCCACCTGGGCGACGATCAAAAACGGGTCTTGCGCGAGATGGCATGGCGACCTTACGCGGTGGCCTACGCGGGCCGCCCGCGCGGCACGCCACACTGGAGACGACGGCGCTTACGCGCGACCTTATGCGGGCAGCTCACGCGCCACTGTCGGCGCAGACGACCCCGTTGTTTTGCGTCGCTCACCTGGAATCGGCGATACATTGCCGATAGATCGGTGACAGGCGCCCGATGGCGACTCCGCCCTTTCCTGGGCGCGGTTGGGCTATCGGGCCCCCATCGGCGACCAATGGGCGCTTAGGGGTCGATGCATCCACCCGGAGCCTCTCCCCCCCATGCCGTTGACCATGGCCTGTAGGTCTGCCACACGGCAAACGCCGAGGGAGTCAGCGTGATCACGAAGACGTAGTTGGACAGCACGAGCAGGCAGGCGAAGATGCCCATGGTCCTGATGGGCATGATCGGCGAGATGGCCGTCGCCAGGAAGGCCACGGCGGTGGTGAACGATGTGTTGAACACGCTTATCATCGTCCGCTGGTATGCGAGGGCCAGGCGGGCCGTCAGGTCCTCGATCCGCTCATCATCGGTTCGGGGCTGATGCGGGTCCTGCCCCGTGATGAGCTCCTCGGACTGCTGCCACGCGTCCGAGAACACGAATACCGCATCGGCGCCGATGCCCAGCATGATAAAGATCAGGATGCCGTGGAGCTGCTGGAAATACGTGATCTGAAAGACGAAGCGGTAGAAGAAAAACGCCACCGGGATCGAGAATACGATCTGCAAGAGCGACACCGTGCCCAAGAACAGGCTGCCCGTGCGCCAGCCGAGGCAGGCCCATACGAAGAGGATGGATACGAGAAGCCAGCTCATGTCAGAGCTGACCACCCTCGCCGTCTCCAGATTCCCGAGCGCTTGGGAGTTGAAGAGCACCTCCACGTCCCCGGCCCTCCACTCCTCCCAGAAGGCCGTGCGGAGGCGGGCGTGGCGCTTGCCGAAGTGCTCCAGCATGTCGCTCTCCAGCTGCTCCCAAAACTCCGCCGTGGCCGTGAGGAGCGCCTTTAGAGGCCTCCTAGATGGGGTCGGAGTAGACGTGGTCGGAGGATCGCACCGCATCGCCGATGCATCGGCGATACGTCGCCGATGCATAGGCGATGCATCGGCGACATTGGCGATGCATCGGCGACTCCAGCGTGGAGAAAATCAGGCTCCACATCGATCCGCATCGCCGATGCATCGACGATACAGCGCGAGCGCAGCCGCAAGAAACCCTCGCAAGAGACCCAACCCTGAACACCCGCGCGCGAAGTGCACCGGAGGGGAAACCTCGAGCAGTCTGCACGCAGCAGCTCCTTCAACGGCCGCGGGAAGTCGCCGCGCAGCGCGCGTATAGGGGGCAAACAAACCTACCCCGCTTTTGACCACCCTCGCTTCCAAGAGATACCAAGCGATGCCAAACTACGGCCAGTACTGGTCATGCCGCTTGACGAGGAGGGGCGTGGTATGCCTTGGCTCTGCCTGGAAGCGAAAGCGGGGCAGGTAATTCACGCTCTGAGCGTGGCGAAGAAACTCAGGATACCCTGACGAAAAGCATCTGGCTTCCTGAGGCGCGCCCCCCCTGCGCGGCTCGATCCTCCGACCCCAGCTATACCCGGACCCCACTCTGAGAGGCCTCGGGCCTCGCTGCCCGGCCCGGCGCCGCCGTGGCCCTCCAGAGGGTACCCGAGGCCCAGCACGGAGCGCGTGCGGCCCCAGCTCGGCCGGCCCGACGGGCCGGCGCCCACGTAGAAGCCCGCCTGCAGCTTCTGCGCGGCGTCCTTCGACCATCGCCATCGTCATCGTCATCGAGGTCGTCGTCGTCATCATCACCGGCGGCGTCGTCGTCGGCATCGTCATCGTCAAGCGCGTGCCACTGCTCGCCAAAGAGAGTAGCTGCTCGCACGTGGCCAAAATATCCGCCGCGGGGGACCTCTACGCCCCACGACATGCAGAGGAAGCTCTCCTTTTTTGTCGGACGTTTGCGAGTATAGGGAAACAAACAATGACATAAACACATAAACATAAAAAACTCCGAGGTCCGCGCGGATTTCTCGGATCGGCGCTGGACCCCCCTCCCTGGCGCGCGGAGGCGCGGCAGGGGGGGGCGTCCAGCGCCGATGCGAGGCATCGGCGCGGAAACCCTCGCGGAACGCGCCCGGTGCGTCCTCCAGCATGGACTCCAGGCTCTGCCTCGTCTCGGCCACCTGCCGGGGGGAACAAACCAACAACAGCAACAGCAGCAACAGCAACAGCAGCAGCAGCAGCAACAGCAACAGCAACAGCAACAGCAACAGCAACAGCAACAGCAACAGCAACAGCAGCAACAACAACAACAACAACAGCAACAGCAACAACAACAACAACAGCAGCAACAACAACAACAACAACAACAACAGCAGCAGCAGCAGCAGCAGCAGCAACAGCAACAGCAACAGCAACAGCAACAGCAACAACAACAACAACAGCAACAAAAGAGAGGCTGGCACCGCGGACCTCTCCCCGCACCTCTCCCGCGGGGGGGTCCTCCTCCTCCTCCTCCTCCTCCTCCTCCTTCCTCAAGCAATTTGGGCGCAAGCAGGTGCGAGGGCCAGGCGGCTCTTCGACATCTCACGCGCTCGATCCTCGGGGCTTCCTCGCAGCGCTTGAGGGGCCCAGATCACGGGCCTTGCCACAGCCCGAAGTCTGTGACCAACACCGAGGTTTTCTTGTAGCGATGGTGCAGTTGTGGTCTCGTTGCGACCAGTGCCGCAGGTGTGAGTGGAATTCCATCATCATGAAGCAGGGCGGCAGTTGTGCGGCCTGCGGCACTCACATTATCTTGTACAAGCCAGCGGGCCGCAAGGTGCACTGGGAGGATGAAGTTCAGGCAGAGATCGCCCCCGCCGCAGCGCCCGACCACGCCAAGGGCGGGCGCACGCGCAGCCACTCCCCGCGTGGCGGGCGGCGCAGCGGCAAGGGGTACGGGACCAAGGGCAGCACCAGCTCCACCGTCACCGACTTGCTGGAGCAGGCGGCCCAGGCCACAAAGGATGCGGCGCTGCAGGCCGCGCTCAAGCAGCAGATTGAGAAGATCAGCACTCAGACCAAGGCTGACACGGAGGCCGCAGTTTCGCCAGCAGAGGTGCTCCGCAAGGCCGAAGGTGCCTGGAAGAATGCGGAGCACCACCACTCGCAGTGCGTCGACAACGTGCTGCGCCTGAGGCAGAGCCTAGAGGCTGCCGAGGCCAAGGAGGCTCGTGCGGCGGTGGCTTTGGCGCAGGCGGCAGCGGCCAAGAAGGCGGCGGCTCAGGCTGTCGCTCGGGCCGAGGGCGTAGGGCCCCCTTCGCCGACCGCCGCCGCGTCGGCAATGTTCACGGTCGAGTGGGATGAGGCGCTGTTCAGCTCGCTGGACAACATGGTCGAGGCGGGCGACTGCTCCAAGGAGGAGCGGGCGGCCCTGGAGACGCTTCACAACCAGCTCAAGGGGGCCAAGTCAGACCTCAACGGCAAGGAAAATGAGATCAAGGCCTGGCTCGACAGGGCCAAGCAGATGAAGGGCGACATTCACGACAGGATGAGCAAGAAGAGGAAGGGCGACGATGGAGGAGCGAAGGCCGCGGCATGCCAGGAGGCCAAGCCGCCTGCTGCAGGAGGTGAAGCAGCAGCTAGCCAGAGCCCCGCGACGGAGACAGCCCAGACCGACGTGAGCAAGGCGGCGTCCGAGCAGATCGAGGAGGATGCGAAGAAGCTGTCGGCGGCCAAGTTCACGGCCAAGGCCGAGGCCGCAGCGGCCAAGGCGGCTGCCAAGGCCCAGGCCAAGGGTGGTGGCGAGGGTGCCGCCTCTTGACTATCTGATGCAGCTGACGACGACCACGCTGAGGGCTCCACGACATTGTTCTACGCGAATGTCATGGCCTTCACTCCCAAAGTGTGGAAATACCTTCAATTAAATTATTGCAAGTACTCCTTCTGGGCCTGGGCAGAGACTCACATCCATGACGAGTCGGAGCTCAGGGATTGGGACAAGAAGGCACGTGATGCACATCTTCGTCTTCATTACAATGCGGCGCGCCCATCGGACAAGGCTGTGGCAGCAGGGTTCGAGGAGCGCGCGAATGAGGGCGGCGAGTTTTTCATGGCTCAGCAGCACCTTCAGGCCCACGTCTTACCTGAGGCCAAGATTGCTGCAAGACATTTGCGTGAGGCGGGCCAGGCCAGCCTAGACGGGTTTCTTCCTATGGTCTTGCATCTCGCTGGGTATTCTATCATAGTAGTGGTACTATACGCGCTGCCCAGTATCATGATGACGGGCCACAACAAGATCAGATTTCAAAGGCTCGGGGGTCTCCTTCGGGCAGTCAGGCTCCCATGGATGATCGTGGGGGACTTCAACATGGAGCCCGACATCCTCGCAGCCAACATGTTCGTTTCCAAACTGAACGGCATCATCCGCACAGCTGGCCCTGCAGGCACTTGTGCCAATAGTCAGGGGCGGGACAAGGTGCTAGACTATGTGGTGTGCAGCCCCGAGGCCTCGCCGTTTCTGAAACCAATCAGTGCCGTGCGATCTGTCCCTCGGAAGCCGCATCAAGGTCTGGCCCTTCAGCTACGTAGCTCTGGCCTTCAGCTTCTCGCCCGCTCCCTCGCGGTCTCTCCCAGGCTTCCTCAGGCCCCGAGACCCCGTAGGGAGCCCACTGCTGGTTCAAAATCTAGTGTTTCTAGAGCCCGCCAGGCGATTGCCCAGCAAGAGGCCCTGGAGGCTCGTAGGTCGCACTTTCAAGAAATGTTTGGGGATTGCTTTCATAGCCCTGGGGTCCCGTCGTCGTCAGCGGAGGGTGTAGGTCAGGCCCCTCCCGATGAGGTCGAAGAATCTCTCGATTGTTGGCCCGACGAAGAGGACGACCCGTGGGCTGACCAGTTGAACTTTTGCGCAGACGGAGAGTTGAGCAATGCCCTCGCCTCCCCGTCTCACCCCATCCTTCCCGAACCTGGCTCGACGGGCAGCGTTGGAGCGTGTCGGCAGGAGAGGCAGTGTAAGACTGACCCAGCAATGGCACAGCATAGCCCCCTCCCCAATTCGTGCCAGCCCCCCCCCCCCCACCCACCGAGACGAGGGAAGATTTAAATCCCGATTTAAACCAGCATGTTTTTCAGTTTTGTGATCCTGGGACCAGTCCTTTACAGGCCCCTGAAAGCTCCCCCTCCGCGTCGGCCACTTTCCAGATCCCCAGCGAGGTATGGGTCGAGAGCAGACGGGAGGTGGGTTTTGCTTCGGGGCAGGACTGCATTCAATCCTTTTCTCCGTCCCTCCTCAAGTCCGTAGCTTTTCGGCTAAGAGGCCTCACACTCTACTGTTGTTTCTGGAATGTATGCAGCGTGGATCTCCACAGTCGAGCTGAGCATCACCAGACACCATGGCATGGAGCTCCCTCGCTCGGGGCGTGCCCACGGGGCTCGTTGGGTCGAGGGCCCTGTCAGGCAGGCGGCTCACCGACGAAAGATCCACCTCCGTGACCAGAGAGCCCAGTGGTGGACCCAGGTCCACACGCTGATCGCAGGAGTCAGCCGACACCTTCAGCGCGGGAATGGCACTCATCAGCTGCAGTGCTACCAGGAGGCGGCACTCAAGGCAGCTGGAGATCGTCCCGAGGGCGCTCATACTGTGCTCCGAGGTGGCCGCGACCCCCCATGGGAAAAATGGTTACGGCTTCTCGAGGCGAAGTGCCAGATCAACCCAGCGGTGTTCGAGTCGTATGTTCACAACGCTCGGAAGACCATGCAGCGGGCCCAGCGGCTTGCGGTGCTGTCGGCTATCCACGACTTCCGTGCGTGGGTGGTGGAGCCAGAAGCTAACGGTATTCTCCGCAAATCTTTGAAGAAGGGTCCTCTGCCTCCCACCGAGATCGTGGTGGGCCAGCAGCTGGTGTACCATCCGAAGGACATCATGGACGCAAAGGCGCAGAAGTATCAGCAGCTGCGGGCACCCTCGGCCCCCAAGTTGCAGGATGTCAGAGAACTTTTTCGACAGATTCGAGTTCGAGCGGTCGACGAGCCGCTCCCGCAGCTCGAGGTGACGGACGTTACCAGGGCTGCTTCACGTATGAAGGCCAAGGCAGGCATGGGCATCGATATGGTCACGCCTACCGACTACCAGAGGCTCCCAGGCGGAGCTGCTCTTGATCTTGGAGGCGGTCGAGGCCACGTTGGCCTGGCCCGCCCAGACGTTGGCAGTGATTGGGAAGCTCACTCCCAAAAAGACTGCGGGCGATCGGGCGATCGGCCTTGTGTCGATGCTCGGCCGACTCTGGTCTTTGATGCGCGAGCCGTCCGTGCAGACCTGGTCGGCTGAGGGCGCTCGCCACTGGGACGCCGCCCTCCCAGGCAACTCTTGCCTGCAGGAGGCGTTCCTGCGAGCACTCGACGAGGAACTGGCCTTCACCATTGGGCATGCAGTACGGCCACGGGATGCTGGATATCGCCACGTTCTACGACAGCATCCCGTGGGACATCCTCGTTTCGGCCGCGCTGCGGCTTCACTTTCCACCAGTAATATTATACTTAGAACTTCTTCAATGCGTGGCACCACGTTGCTTGGAGCAGGACAAGACTGTGTCGACTTTGTTTGACCCGCTCCTCAGCGTCGTGCAAGGGCTGCGGTCAGGAACCCGCGTCGCCAAGATGATGACCCACCATGTCATGGCCACGGTGACCACAGCCCATCCGAGGATGGGGGCGAGGTTATGGGTCGACGACGTGTCGGAGACAGTCAAGGGGTCTAGCAAGGCCATCCGCTCGGAGCTCGCCAGCGGCATCATCATGACGTGCCGTGAGCTGCAGCAGCGCAAGCTTAAGGTTGCCGGTAATTCAGTTGTCATTTGCAGTTCGATGCACGATGCTCGGGCCATTGCTCGCCAGGTTCGACGTGCAGGCTTTGTGATCAAGCCAGTGACGCACGCCACCTATCTCGGCATCGATTTCGGGTGCGGTAGGAGAGTGCGAGCGACCAGGGTGCTGCGCGAGAAGAAGCATCGGCTCATGAGCGTCAAAATCCGAAGGTTCACGAGAGTCACGAAGCAGTACGGGGCCATGACCAAGCTCCAGAGGCAAGGCGGTCTACCCGCGGGTCTCTACGGGCACCAGGTCCACGGGCTCTTCGGCGAGCAGCTCACGAGGAGCAGGCGCAGGCTTGCGCAGGCTTGTGCCTCGTCAGCGCGAGGCCGATGCCTCACCACCGTCCTGGCGCTCAGGGCCCCTGGAGCTGACCCAGGAGTGCTCTACCCGACCCAGACGGTGGACACCTGGCTCAAGATCTGGCGCGACTGCCCCGAGATCAGGGCGGGGGTCCGACGAGCGTGGCCCACTATTGTGCAGCAGATGCGGGCAGTTCCTGTGCCAGCTCAGGTACGGCTCATCAAAGGCCCCACTGGGGCCATCATTCACACGCTGCTGAGGCTGGGCTGGACTCCCCATGCTCCTGATACGTGGTCGTTTCAAGTCGGCCCGGATCGCAGTGAGGAGTGGCAGTTCCCAGATCATATCTACACGGGAAACCCCCACGTGGACCGCCACGACCATCTCCTGGACGACGTGCGCCAGGCCTGCCAGACCCAGCTCTGGACCCAGGCTGCCAAGCACTTCTGCGGCGGGGGGCTGGAGCAGGGCGTCGACAACACCTCGTACATCCAGCTACTGAGGCACTTGTCCCAGGTGCCCAACGGCAAGAGGTTATGCGAGATCATGGTGATGGTGGCGTCAGGCGGGATATGGAATAAGCAGAGGAAGAAGCAGGAGCTTAAGAGATACCAGGGCACGGACATCTGCGACCGCTGCAACGAGGAGGTCGAAACCCCGTTACATCGATACTGGCAGTGCAGGTGTAACACAGATGCCAAGCCCTACACCGACTCGGAAGACTTGTGCATGCAGGCGGTGACGCAGTGCAACACTGCGGAGGCTTTCTGGCTGCGCGGGCTGCTCCCCGCGCATTGGACGGAGGTGAGTCCACCACCGTCACAGGACGCCTGGCAGTTCACTGGCGGCCATACGCTCGAGGCTGGATTTTTGGGGCCTGGCTCGGCCGAGCGACCTGTCATGATTTTCGGCGACGCCAGCGGGGGCCCAGACAGCAGGTGCCCCAGGCTGCGGAGAGTTGGCCTAGCCATCACATGCTTCGAGTGTGTGGAGCCTGCCATCGTCCCTAGGGGCTCCATCTTTGGGCCCTTGTGCGGACGACGGCAGGTGGTGGCCAGGGGTGAGCTGAAGTGCTTACACCTGGCCCTCTGGGCCACCACGCAGTTTCTCACTTTTGTCACCGATTTCGAAGATGTTGTCACAGGGTGGTACGAGCAGAGATATCTTCAGCCCAGGGGAGCTGACGCGGACCTCTGGGCGGCCATCGGGCAGCTGATGACTCACCGCCCGCCCCATCATGTGTCGGTCCTTTTCACTCATTCTCACTTGACGGCCAGCCAGATGGCAGCTGGCCAAGGCATCCGCCAATTGATTATAGGAAATGCAGTTGTGGACGAGCTAGCGGGACTGGCTGCCGTCCAGGCGCGCGTGCTCGAGGCAGAACGTTGCAGATTGCTGTTACACGAGCGCCGTGCACGGCTCGTACGCCTCAGGCTGCTGCGTGCTGCGGTCGACTGTCTTGCCAAGGAAAAGCAGGTGGAGCGTGAGCGCGGTGGTGTGCTGCGCGGAGGCCCTAAGCTTCCTCCTCCCCCGCCTCCCCCCTCCGCTCCTGCCGTTGCTGCTCTCATGTCTCGGCATCAGTTGTCCGACTGTAAAAAGAGATGCCTTCGGTGCCGCGGCTCTGCGTCACTGGCCACCATGAAAGAATGGCATGCGACTAAGTGTCACAGTTTGGTGAACGTGAATGGGCTGATTTACTCCCCTCCAGTCGGAGGGAGAATCCATGTCGGGGGGGCTGGCTGCACCATTCCCACCACCTCAACTTCCACCAGTCTCTGAATGTATGGTTCTGTGGCAAGTGTGGGGCGATAGCTGACAAGCAGCTTTGTTCGCTTGCAAAGCCTTGCTCGGACACCCTCGGAGCCACAGGACGAGTGTATCTCAGGAGAATTCACGAAGGGCTCCCCCCCAAGGTCCTCAGCAAGGCCGAAAAGGCCCAGCGAGGCCGTGGGTAGCCCAAGTCTTGGGATTGGCATCGCCACTGGTTCCTATTCCTATTCCTACTCCTCCTCCTCCTCCTCCTCCTCCTCCTCCTCCTCCTCCTCCTGCTCCTCCTCCTCCTCCTCCTCCTCCTCCTCCTCCTCCTCCTCCTCCTCCTCCTGGGGGGGCCCTTCTGGGGCCAGCATCTCCAGACCCCGGCCGCTGCGACGAGGGCCCTCCGGGACGACGAGCGGAGCCCAGACGCCCGGCACCTCGCTTATTGTTTGAGACACGGGCTCCCCCACCTCTCGACCACTTCCCCCGGGACCGGTGTTGCATCGCGAGTCGTTTCTTGACGGTCCCGAGGCCTGGCAGGGGCCCCGAGAGGCCGCAGGCGAGGAGAAACTGCCGTCTCGACCTGTTCGCGACGCCCGCTGTCTGGGAGCAGCGGTTTCGGCACCTCTCCCTCCTCGGGCCTGCGCCGCGCCGAGCAGCGCGCAGTCCGCCGTGGCGCCGCCGTCGTGGCCGTAGAAGAGCTGCGCCACCGAGAGAGCCTGGGCCTGGCAGTCCGATCCGCGCAGCTCGCGGCCCTCCGCGGCGGCGAGCTCCAGCGCCCCCGGCCGGAGGGCACAGAAGCGGGGGTAGTGCCTGGCGACCAGGCCAGACCACCCCAACCCAACCCTGATGGGGCCCCAGGACACACGAATAAATGCACACAAACAATGGGATTCCCAATATTTTCCGATATTTTCGGGGTTTCGGTCTTCCCCCCCACTTCCCATAGTTTCCCATATTCTCCTGGGGACAAACGATTCATTGTGTCTGTGTATTTTTCCCCCTGAAACCAGAAGACCCGAGTTGAAACCGAGTTTCGGGTTGGGGGGCGGGTACGGGTTCCATGTGTTGTTTTCAATGTTCCCCGACCCCCCTCACACTGGAACTGGAGGGCAAATGGAGGCCTTCGGGTTGAGTTGGGGTGGCTTGGTGGGTGGGCAGCGCCTGTTCTGCAGGAAGACGCGCTCCTCGAAGGGGGGGCAAAGTCAGCATCAACTGCCGGGTGCCAGGTCGGGCCTGTCCTCCGCCAGGCGGAGTCTGGACGAAACACTAAGAATAGTCCTACAATATCAAAATCTCGAGACTCCCTCCTGTACTCCTGTATCGAGGGACACGCCCGAAAAGAAGCCCGGTGGCCGTGACTTCGTGCCCCCGAGCAGTGCAGCACCACCCTCGCCCTGCACCGCTGCACCGCGTTGGCTCCATCCTTCCTTGTCCCGAGCATGCCACACAACACACGCGCTCTTAGGGGAACGACGAATGGCATTAACATAAAGACTCGGAGGTCCGTGCGCCGTCAGGGGGGTCCAGCACGGATCCGAGGAATCCGCGCGGACGTCCGAGTTGTTATGTTCATGTCATTCTTCGTTCCCCTAGCTCTCCTCTACAGTCTCACTTCTCGCCGATGCGCCGTCTTGACGTGGCATCCTGCGTTGCATTGCATTGTGTTGGGAACCCATCGGCGTGTTTCTGGTGGAGGAGCACCGTGCCTTCGGACAAAGACGAAGGAGTCACGCGCCGACGGGCTCTCAACGACGGCGTGCCATCGCTACTCTGTTTCCCTCCCGAGCTCCACAATGCACGCCTGCTGCAGGCGCTCTGGGGTGAACATCTCGGCGCCCTCGTCGGCCTGGTAGATGATGGAGAACCCCAGCAGGCCACTGTTGGGCTGGCTGCGCGTCGACAGCGGGGGGCAGGTTCCGTTCACCGGGATGCAGTCCACCTCCGCCTCCGCGAGCTGAATCGCGTCCAGTGCCTGGGAGTGCACGTCGCCCAGCACCATCCAGTCCTTCGGCCCCTCCTCGGAGAACGCCAGCTCCCCTGAGAGGATACCTGCCATGGTGATCGCGATGACGGCAGCCCAGCAGGAGCAGAGAGCCTTTCGGCTTCACACAAGAGTGACTTTGGCGCGCGGCTTCGGGTGACCACGGGGGGAGCCAACTGCAAATGCCAAATCCAACCGTGCGAACCTCGGCGGCGACGATAGGGGCGAATAGCCCAGGGGCGGGCATTACACGTATTCGCCCAGGAGCCTTTTCGAAGACATAGATCATCGGCGCACCTGAATACATGGATTGTTCTCCCCTGGGCTATTCGCCCCTATCGTCGCCTCTGACAACCAGTGTTGCAGGGGGACCCTGGGGGCTCTCACCAAAGGCCATGCCAGCCAGTGCTTCAGGGGGGGACCCTGTGAGCCCGCACCAGACGCCACTGGCGTAGATCTAGGTCGGGCGTGTCCTCCTAGGATGTTTGACGAAATATTGAAAAAATTGTCAAACAATACTCCGAAAAGGTCAAAACTAGTCGACAAATCGTTCCCTGACTAGTTTTTAACAATTTGTTGATATTCCTCCTGCAGTGGGACATGCCCGACTTAAGCGTAGGTGCCAAGTCCAAGCGCGCCAGCCAGTGTTGGGGGGATCCCCGCGAGCCCCGCACCAGAGGCCACGCCAATGAAAGGCCACTCTGAGAGGAACAAACACTTGCATTAAGCATGCTTCTCTTACAGTCGGATTCGATTGGACAGGACACGCGAGAGGGCACAAGACCCTTCCGAGGGCCACATTGCCACAGGAATGTAAGAGGCATGGGTCGCGAGACACAGGTCACAAGAGCACCCTTGATTTAGCAGGGTCGACCTACCAATCTGGGCCGACTGTAGGTCCGCGCGGATTTCTTGGATCGGCGCTGAACCCTTTCCTTGGCGCTCTCCGCGCTCCAGGGGCGGCGCCGGAGGCGCCGCCAGGGGAACCATGCGCCAATCCACGAAATCCCCGCGGACCTCCGAGAAATGACTCACGTTTGAACCAAAAGATACCGATATTGCTACAGTCGGGGTGGATTGAGGAGGACACGCGAGAGGACACAAGACTCTTCCGAGGGGCACATTGTCTTCTGAAGATAGAAGCATGGGTCGCGAGGCACAGGGCACGAGAGTACCCTTGATTTGGCAGGGTCGACCTACTAATCAACCTCGACTGTATTCCCTGGACACCTCCCGGCGCGCGCTCTGCCCACAGATTCGAGGATCATCCAGCCGTGGCGACGAGGGCTCTCCAGGATGAGCAGCGGTATGGCAGGCCCGTGCCGCGACGACCCCAGCATTGGTCGATGGCACCGCGCGGATCGTTCGACCTTGAAAGATCGGCGGCTCTTCGATCGCCAGATCGTTCAATGTTGGCCGATTCTGGGGCTGCCGCACTGGCACGACATGAACTTGCCGAGCAAGTGTCTGCGCTTTCGGGGGCGGCCAAGAGGGGGCGTCCAAGAGGAGGGGGGGGGGGGCGCAAATCATGGCCGGCGGCATGTGCGCGGCCCAGGGGGGGCCGGAGACGTACTGACGTAAGAAGAGGCGCCATGAAATCTTGGGAGATATCATGACCCCCGCCATGATATCCACACCCCCCATCTGGGATGACCGTGGGGGTTTCTAAGTGGACAGGGGGGCTACAAGTGAATGCTAAGGTGGGTCATATCTGGCCCAACCTGGCTTACAGATGGGCTACGATTGCCCCAAGTAGCTTAGAGATGTGAGCGATCCGGGCCAAGTGGGCGCCACTCCGCGTAGCGGAGTTATCCAACCCCCCTGAGCCACTTGGCCGAGTTCTCTGACCCCCATAAGACCCCCCTATGATATCCACTCCCCCCCAGTCATCACCCCTCTCTTGGCCGCCCCCGACGCGCTTGCGCGAAGCCGAGCCTTGCACGGGTGCCGGGCCGCGAGCTGGCTCGCGCGCAGGGAGACGCGGCCGCACGTGGGCATCTCCTCGTGCACCTCCCGCCCGCGCCGCGCCCGCAGCTCGCTCTGGGTGCGGGCGAGGGCGTTGCCGTCGGAGGCGACAGTGCAGAAGGAGGCGTTGCGCAGCCTCGCGTCCGTGCGCTGAGACCCCCTCTGCCTGAGCCCGATGCTGTGCTCCCGCTGCATCTCGGGGTCGTTGCCGCGGGAGGCGCTCCTTTTGATGCTGCTCTCCCGCTGCATCTCGAGCGACGGGGGGCGTGCGGCCGGCGGGAGAGGCCTGCGCTTGTGGCTGGCTTCGGAAGATTGCTGGAAGACCTTGAGCCAAACGCTCT